CAGTTTTGGGATTTTGATATTCAATAGGAAAAAATCAAAGAACATGGAACTGGAGAACTCAAAGTGCCAGTCGTGGGCCACCTGTGCGTCGGGCACCAGCACTGCGGTAGCCTTTCCATCGTAATAACAGGCCGGGTATTCACTGTTTGAGTAATTACTGGTAATCATGTCAACAATAGTCTTATTGTTTTGCAGATTAATAACTTTAACATTCATTAACTGATTCTTAATAAAGTAGCCGCACGTGGATCGCGGGCCAGTCCACACACCCGCCACACATTTCTTGGTCTGTGTCTTGACATAGATCTTATCGTAAGGACAGCTATACCTCACTTCATCGCCGTCTTCGTAGACATTCTTCTCGGGATCTATTTTGGTGTCATGTGGTAGACCTGGAAATCCACATCTGCTTCCAATATAATAGCATTTAATTGCATTAAACACACAGAATATTAATGATAATAAGTAGATTCTTGTATTAATTGAAGTCATTATTATTAATACATATTTTATATATTTTTTTAATGAAATGTTTTTTGGATTAAAGAATGTTTGCAATTGTTTTGCTGTGTCTATGAAAAGTGTTTAACGTTTTCGTATATATGAAGTCGACGTTGGTATCAGAGTTTCACTCAATATAATGATCATTTCCCGACTAAAACCTATTTATCAAGTTTTAAAGTTATATTAATTGATTTCATTGCTGTCATAGGATTCCGAGAATTAATACTTTAACCCATAATTTAGTTATAAAATCCGTTATAAGTTTCCGCTAAAGTTTCCTAAACTTTTGTCAATTGTTTTGTAAAATTCTTTTTAAGTGTTAATAGTAATATAATTAACGTAAAAGCCTTTAATAAAAAAATTACCAAAATTGATTTATGATATGTGTGAGTGTGTTTTGGCGGCAATTGTATGCAAATATTATTTTCTTGTATCATAGGATTTGACAGATTTTTTATTAGTTTTATGTCTGTTTTATTGTGCGTTTAGATCTATAATGAAATTATAATTTATTTCTAAAAATAAGATAAAGAAACCAAATATACCTTATATTGAGCTGAATCTGTAAGAAACACATTTAACGCCTGTTTATAATACTATTCAACAAATATGGTTTGCATTTTATATGATAATTGGCATAATATGATTGTCATTTGAAATACAGTACGCCTAATGTTATTTATAACATTAAAAACTTTGCATCAATGCTAGTATAAAATGCCATAAAAAAGTAATTAAAACATAATTTTCCTTAAAATACTCAATCAATTGATATATAAATCAATTATGAACTAAAAATACACAAAAATTGCATATGAAATGCCAAACCACACCTCTTTCTAAAAAATGAAAATTAATGTTTGGAAAAGTAATGAAACAAATGATACTCAAAATTAACATAAAAACTTTGTGATCACCACTAATGAAGATATCGCGCATTAGAGCTCATTAGAGGCGTTTGAAAAGGGGCTGAAAATTGAGAAAAAAATTAAGTGCATTTTCTATGTTTTTGGAAAAAATAAAATAAAATAATTGCACGAAATATAAGTCATGTATGTATTGGAAAAGACATTTAATTTTAAGGTTCCGAATGCTGTATGTATTGAGTGTTTAAACATAATTAAGTAATTCTGACAATAAAAATATATTGTATACAAAAGTTTTTTCTGCTTTTCACACAACATTCATTGTCTATTGATATCTCATTTTTGCTTAAATAATACAGAATATAAACTGTTGTCAACTTTTTCAGAAAATATATCAATACATGAGGCATAAGTTATAATCATCTGAAAAAGCAATAATACATATCAAATGTCAGTTAAGTCTTAGTTTTATTCAACATAAATAGCTGTCTCTTCACCACATTTATTGATATATCGTTATTAAGAATATTATTGCCATATATTATAGTCAATAAAAAAGTCCATTATTAGCAGAGAATTGTTTGTTTGTTTGTGTCATTGAGAGAAGTTTTTGAATTGAAGAATTTGAAGCAAACAATGATCTCTTTGTCATCACTTTTATTGGAGAAAAGTGGAAGAATGGACGACTTGTTGCTGCAAATGGATGCACAGCTGAGGCTGTATTTGTGGACAATTCATGAGTTAAATGCCATTAAATACGCGACTGAACTGCAGAATGCGAGTCGCAATCAGATTCGCGTCAGTCATTACAAAAAGCGATGGAGGGATCGGTATATCAAACCCGCGTCCAAACCACACACCACTCAAGGTATTAGGAATTTTGTATATAAAATATAATTTATTTACAGGTGTATCAGATTACAAAATATTAGACAAATTAAGCAATATAACTTATTAAACCAAGGATTTAGTTGAGATGTAATAAATTTAAATATAATTTATGGGTTTAAAAAATAAAAATAGTATCATATGCTAAACATCAATATTTTATACATTGAGTATAAACTGATTAATAGAATTTCAGTTAAATATACACAAGTTTTTTCATGTATTTTATTTATGGTTTGTTGTGTTGTATTTAACAATTTAATTACAGGTATTTATAATATTTATGTGCGAAACATAAATACTTTCAGAGAGAAAGTCTTTAATTAAATGTTTTATTACTTTTCAAGTGATTATAAAATAGCACTTCAATTATAATCTTAAGGTCTCATTAACTTACCTCTCAATGACACCAATGTTTAAATATGATTTGCTTTATGTATAATAGTAATGACTACTGTTTTAAATTATACTAAAGCTCTTTAAATCATTGATTATTTTGGATAACATTGTGTTTAGATCCGTTGAAATTGATGGACAAACTGGTGAACGACTCACACACTTATGATCACGTCTTGTCCTTTAAGAGGATTCTGTTACATATAGTCGATGACCTGCAAAAATGAGATATCAATAGACAATGAATGTTGTGTGAAAAGCAGAAAAAACTTTTGTATACAATATATTTTTATTGTCAGAATTACTTAATTATGTTTAAACACTCAATACATACAGCATTCGGAGCCTTAAAATTAAATGTCTTTTCCAATACATACATGACTTATATTCGGATATTTCGTGCAATTATTTTATTTTATTTTATTTTTTCCAAAAACATAGAAAATGCACTTAATTTTTGTCTCAATTTTCAGCCCCTTTTCAAACGCCTCTAATGAGCTCTAATGCGCGATATCTTCATTAGTGGTGATCACAAAGTTTTTATGTTAATTTTGAATATCATTTGTTTCATTACTTTTCCAAACATTAATTTTCATTTTTTAGAAAAGAGGTGTGGTTTGGCATTTCATATGCAATTTTTGTGTATTTTTAGTTCATAATTGATTTATATATCAATTGATTGAGTATTTTAAGGAAAATTATGTTTTAATTACTTTTTTATGGCATTTTATACTAGCATTGATGCAAAGTTTTTAATGTTATAAATAACATTAGGCGTACTGTATTTAAAATGACAATCATATTATGCCAATTATCATATAAAATGCAAACCATATTTGTTGAATAGTATTATAAACAGGCGTTAAATGTGTTTCTTATATTTGGTTTCTTTTTCTTATTTTTAGAAATAAATTATAATTTCATTATAGATCTAAACGCATAATAAAAAAGACATAAAACTAATAAAAAATCTGTCAAATCCTATGATACAAGAAAATAATATTTGCATACAATTGCCGCCAAAACACACTCACACAAATCACATAAATCAATTTTGGGAATTTTTTTTATTAAAGGCTTTTACGTTAATTATATTACTATTAACATTTAAAAAGAATTTTACAAAACAATTGACAAAAGTTTGGGAAACTTTAGCGGAAACTTATAACGGATTCTATAACTAAATTATGGGTTAAAGTATTAATTCTCGGAATCCTATGACAGCAATGAAATCAATAATATAACTTTAAAACTTGATAAATAGGTTTTAGTCGGGAAATGATCATTATATTGAGTGAAACTCTGATACCAACGTCGATTCAATATATAGGAAAACGTTAAACACTTTTCAAAGACACAGCAAAACAATTGCAAACATTCTTTAATCCAAAATAACATTTCATTAAAAAAATATCAAATATGTATTAATAATAATGACTTCAATTAATACAAGCATCTTATTATTATTAATATTCTGTGTGTTTAATGCAATTAAATGCTATTATATTGGGAGCAGATGTGGATTTCCAGGTCTACCACATGACACCAAAATAGATCCCGAGAAGAATGTCTACGAAGACGGCGATGAAGTGAGGTATAGCTGTCCTTACGATAAGATCTATGTCAAGACACAGACCATAGCAGATGTGGATTTCCAGGTCTACCACATGACACCAAAATAGATCCCGAGAAGAATGTCTACGAAGACGGCGATGAAGTGAGGTATAGCTGTCCTTACGATAAGATCTATGTCAAGACACAGACCAAGAAATGTGTGGCCGGTGTGTGGACTGGCCCGCGATCCACGTGCGGCTACTTTATTAAGAATCAGTTAATGAATGTTAAAGTTATTAATCTGCAAAACAATAAGACTATTGTTGACATGATTACCAGTAATTACTCAAACAGTGAATACCCGGCCTGTTATTATGATGGAAAGGCTACCGCAGTGCTGGTGCCCGACGCACAGGTGGCCCACGACTGGCACTTTGAGTTCTCCAGTTCCATGTTCTTTGATTTTTTCCTATTGAATATCAAAATCCCAAAACTGGGTCTACAGGTCAGGGGTGCGAGCAATGAGATCGACTCAATGAGGGTCAGGAATATTCGTATAGAGGGCGAGGAGGATAGGACCTGTGCTCTCGATTTCAGCACTCGTGACAAATGGACTAAAATATTCTGGTTCTGGTGTACGGAAAGTGTGGATAAAGTCCTGAACAGAACTCTTGAAATTAAATTCACAACATATTCGAGTCAAACAATTAAATCGATAGGATTGCACCAGGTCTACTTCACTGGAAAGGCTACCGCAGTGCTGGTGCCCGACGCACAGGTGGCCCACGACTGGCACTTTGAGTTCTCCAGTTCCATGTTCTTTGATTTTTTCCTATTGAATATCAAAATCCCAAAACTGGGTCTACAGGCCAGGGGTGCGAGCAATGAGATCGACTCAATGAGGGTCAGGAATATTCGCATTGAGGGCGAGGAGGACAGGACCTGTGCTCTCGATTTCAGTACTCGTGACAAATGGACTAAAATATTCTGGTTTTGGTGTACGGAAAGTGTGGATAAAGTCCTGAACAGAACTCTTGAAATTAAATTTACAACATATTCGAGTCAAACAATTAAATCGATAGGATTGCACCAGGTCTACTTCACGAAACTGCAATACTGTGGCCACCCAACTGTCCCTCTTATGGCCAAATATGTGCCCAACAATGAGGAGACCCAACAGATTGTATGCGATCCCAAAGTCTCCTATGATATCAACTCTGCCGCCAACTCTTCGGATTTGATTTTATCTGATGACCAGTTGATGGGCGACTGTTTGGACAACGAGTATTGGGCCGGTAATCCTAAATGTGTGCCCAAATTATACTGTAAAGTGGAGCTCAATGAAGTATCCGAAGAGATAATGTCTGTGAAAAACGCGTATATCTTTGACAAAAACAAATGGTATGCCATCGAAGGGACGTCCATTAGCTTTAGATGCAAACCTGGCTTCGAGTTCGTCACCGACTCATTTCGCACATGTCTTTACAACTCAACGTGGGATCAAATGGCACCCGTATGTAGAAATGCCGAGAAAGGTGAGAAATAGCCAGCATAAATAATAGTTTGAGAATTGATTTTAAAATATAATGTAAATAATATGCAATTCATTTGATTGCTGGTCGGTTACAATCAACAGGTTTCACGGTTCCGGTGATTATAATTCTGGTGGTAATCGTAATATTAGTCATTGTATTACTGGTTGCGGTGATAATGAGACGAAGAAATAGCCGAATGAAAAGCGAACCAAATATGGACTTTAATGGCAAAGAAGATGATTTCAACACTTATGATGACATTTACCACAACGGAAACGAAGACTATGCGGATCCGACATATTATGAACATTTGGGGCAAAATAGATATGAGAC